AGCCTCATATAAAGTGGAGGAAGATTGGCACAGATGTTAGCTCAAGGCTTACCTTTCTCGTGCAAAAAGAGGAAGATTGGCAACAGAGGTTAACTCAGGGCCAATCTTCCATAGCAAAAACAAACAAAAAATATCTTGGCAATCTCTCCATGTTAGTATCAGCTCCACTTTGTTCCTACCAACACCTACACAGTCTTCCATGGTGTGAAAGCACCGTGTTTAATGTAATCAGTTCCCTACCAATGGGCATTTAGGATTCTTTCTCATCTTTGCTGCCTTGTGTGCCCAGGCCTCCTGTACAGAGAGGTGAATGTTTCTCTAAGTTAGGTGCCAACGTGGAATTACCGGGTGTAGGATCCTTGTATTCTATGCGTACATGGATATTGCCAAATTGTCCACCCAGATTGGCTAGACCAATTTTCTATTTTCACCAAGACAGTGTGAGAGTGTTTTTTCCCTGCACCCTTGCCAAAACTTTACATTACTGAGATTGAAAGTTTTTGCCACTCAGATTGCTACAACGTACTGAAGATGATACTCACCATGGCTAATGCTGATAGACTGTTGACTACCCTCTGGGCACAGGTTCAAGAGCTCTGCTTCTCTATATTGACTCATTTAATCCCACAACGACCCTGTGACGTGGGGTCCCTTTTTTGTTCCTGTTTTACAGTTGACAAAACTCAGGTGTAGAATGAGATCTTATTGTTTCAACTGTTTTTCCTGATTATGACTGAGCCGAATTATTGCTTCATGTTTATTGATCACGTAAACCTCTGTGACTTGCAGGTTCATTTTCCTTCTTTCCTTTTCTAACATGTTTCTTGTCTTTTTCTTATTGATGCTCTGTACGTTAGTCTTTATTGCATACATCACAGATGTTTTCCTAGACTGCAGCTGACGCTTTAACTTGGTTATGCTGTTTTCCATCCCATGGAAGTTTTAAACAATGATGCACTTAGGTACATCAGGCTTTTCCCAAATGACGGGAGCATATCATGCCTTGTTTAGGAACGCTTTTCTTATCCCGAGGTTATAAGCATGTTTTAAAATTTGTCTCCTCTAAAACTTTTGGAATTCGCTATTTAATTTTTAAGTCATTAATCTATCTGCAAGTTATTTTGGCAAAGGGGGATAGTAGAAATATAATTCCCTCCAAATTGTTAGCAAATTATCCCAACGCTTATTGAATTTTATTCTATTTTATTTTTATTCTTTACATTGATTTGAAAAGTCGCCCTAATCATGCCCTAAATTTCTACACTTAGGTGAGTTGTTTACTTGACTTTAGTTTATTGATCTAATTATCTGTTTCCCTACCCCTATGGTCTCTTGTTTATAATATGTCTTAATATCTGGAGAGAGAGAAGTTCATCTTGTGTTTAGCCACCTTGCTGAATTCTCCTATTCGTTCGAGCAGTTTATAGTCTCACTTTGTGTGTCCTTTTAAGCTGAGGACTCATGTCTTTTTTTCAATTCTGGAAATATTTTTCTTGGAATATCTTTGAGTTTGTCTTCCTCTCCGTTCTTTTCATTTTCTCCGTCTGGATCACCTATAAGGGAAATGGCATGTCTGGATCTATCTTCCATTTCTCTTGACTTTTCTTTCATTCTGTCCATTCCTTTTTTTCTGGATCCTGGGAGAATTTCTCAGTTCAGTCTCCCAGCTCGGTAATCTGGTTGTGAGCTGTGTCCACCCGCAGATTTTTGTTCCAGTCGTGTTTTGCATTTCTATTGGTTGAGCCAATCTCTCTTGCATCTCTCTGGGGACGTTAAGGATGCGTGTTCTGGTGACTCGATCTGCTGGCTCTGTGGATAGTCTCCCTGGTGGGGGTTCTGTTTGTTGCCCTTGGTTGGTTGTCTGTTGTGGTGTTGACTTTCCTCAAATGTCTGGTGTTTCTTGGTGAGGGGACCATATTTACCGTGGGCGTTCTCTGTAGCCTGTCTGCCCTGGCTGCGTTGGCTCACTGCAGCCTTTTTGTGAGAGAGAGGTGAACCCAGATGTTTTGTGGGGAAAGATGCTTCAAGAACTCTTTTTCTTGGCCCCGAGGCCTCCTGCTCCCCCTGGGTCTTCCTGCACACCCCATCCCTTATCCCAGAGACCTCTCTGCCTCTCTGACCACCAGGCTCATAGTCACAACTGGAAGACATCCCCATGGTTTGCTGCCTGGCCACGGGAGGTGGAGGGGTTTGCTGAAGGTCAGCCGGCCTGGCTGCTCCTGTCCCAGGCAGGGCTCTAACTTGTCACCCTAGGGTCGCTCCTGTGTCTGGCACTTTAAAGCTTGCAACTGGCCTTTTCTGCTGCCATTTGGACTTAGGTTTTCTCTTTTAGCCTTCTAGTTATCAAAAGATTTCTCATAATTTCTTGTCCACTGGATTGAGGGTGGGAGGGAGGGGAGAAATTGCATCATATACAGAATTTTCCTTCTTCATACAGTCTTACATTATTTTCTAAGTACCTGTGTTGCATTATTGGGTTACTTTGAATGTTTAATTAATCAAAAGCCCCCAGTGATTTTTCTTTCTTTCTTTCTTTCTTTTTTGCACAAATCTCTGCCATGGCAATTTTCCCCTGTCCTAGCCTTGTCCCCTTTTTTAAGGCAAAATGTAGCACTTTACATGTATTTCTATTGAATTCTGTCTTGTGGTTTGGGCCCTATGTTCTCGCCTGTCAGATCTTCTTGAATATTGATGGGCACATTTATCATATTAACTGTCCCTCCCAACTTTGTGTGACCTGCACATCTGATAAGATTCTTCTTCATGTCTTTCACTCACATCATTGTCAAAAACATTGAACACAGCAGGGCCCAGAAATGAGCTCTTTGGTTTTGCCACTCGAGACCTTGCCTAAGATTTACTCGTTCGGTAAACATTTATAAAGGTAGATATAAACATTTATTGTTGGTCCCCCTTAGGGAATGCCGGTCAACAACTTGTGAGTTCACCTATCAGGAAAGACAGTCAATACAAATTCTATTGTCTTATCCTCAAGGTTATCACAGAAAATCGGTCAGAAGCTAAAATCGGGATGCACTGTCCGTTAATCCTAGCAGATTGGCATGGAATTGTCTTACTGTCTCCTGATTGTTCTGGTACGGTGGTTTGTCTCTCTAGTTGGAGTTTGAGTTTCTTGGGGGCGGGTACTGATGTCGTTTGTGGGGGGGGATGGGTATAGTCATGCACACACAGTCATTCTGACGTGGAAGCCGTTGTGTTCAATGCTTTATAGATCCTTACTCACCACACCACAATGGGGGCAATGTTGTCATTTCACTTTTATAGATGGGGAAATGCCTCATGTAAGGTACCCAACTGGTTAGGGTAGAGTTTGTTTGACTGTCTGACTCCAAACCCAGGCGCTCTGCATTGCGCGTGCTCCCTCCCCAGATGTGGCACCACCGTCCTCCCCATTCCACAATTCGGGAATAGGCTCAGGAAATACCATCCTTTGAAATTCCACCGGCGGACAAGAATTGAGGTGAAATGAATGCGGTAAGCCCCCAGCAGGGCTCTCCTCCCCTAAAAGGTGAATTGAACTGGGTTGCTGGAGTGACTGGGCTGTTCCGACACTCGTCAGTAGACACCTAGCCAAAACATAACTAATGCAAAGTGATCGTCTTTATTGGGCTTGTCCATTGTGAGTATTGGTGCCGGAAAGGGGAATTCTTATCGAAGAGGAAGAATTGGCCGCGTGCTTTTGCCCGCACTGTCCTGGGGAGAGCGTGGCCTGCTGCTAAGGACAGGTTTCGGAACATTTTCAGAACAGACACATCCCTGGAGTGGACATGAGTTCGTCAGCCTTCTCCGGGTTGATGGTCGTGTGTCCCAAGGTGGTGTTTCTCAAAGCATATGCCACAAAACCCTATCCTGTGAGTTGCTTCATCAAACAAGGATTCCACAGTCAGACAACCTGGGAGAAGCTGTGTGCCGCATCCACCTCAGGGAGATTGACACGCAAAGGCTCTGAGAAGTCCTGCAGTAACCCAGCTTTCCAATCCATTTGACCACATCCCACGCTCCATTCCTCACCTTTTTTTTTTTTTTTTTTTTTGGTTAAACACACTTTGAAGGAAATTCTGACCTGTGAGACCTATCTTTCTTTACTCTCATTTTGAACTTGTCCATTGGACAGACACCCCACTTCTTTCTCTCTCTCTCATGACACTCAGTTCACTTCCTTCAAATCTCTTATCACAGTTTCTTAGTGTAAGCTGATTAGTATGCTTATTTATTTCATACTGGACTGTCAGCCCTGTGAAGGCAGGGGTCACACCTGTTTTACTCACCACTGTAAACTTAGTGCCAAGCAAAGTGCTGGCACATAGTAGGTCCTCAAAAGCATGTATTGACAGAATAGATGCACCTCCAGTCTTCATTTTGCTCTCCTAGGGGCGGAATTCTGTGCAATTAACAGGAAATATTCATTGAGTTTCCACTTCGCAGGCCCCGCGCTGAGCTCTCCATGCACATTATTTCATTTACTCCTTGCAGCAGCCCCAGGGAGTCTGTACATTATCCTCATTCCCATCTTACAGGCAACGTCTTTGAGGCTTGAAGAGTTTATGCTGTTTTCCCAGCTCACCCGGCTAACAGGTGGCAGAGCCAGGTTCGATCCCTGGCCTACGTCCCTGCGAAGTCCACTCCGTCATGCTCTCTAGAGGGAAATGACCACTTAGAGGCATCATAAAAATAAATTACCGTTCTGGTCTATGAGTCAGCCTTGTGATAGTCCAGTGATCCAGACGACCCAGAATGGAGGGGAAAACGCTAGCTTGCAAAACTCAAGCTTGCAAAACTGAGCCCCACGTCCCAAGGGTAGGGTGACCCCACTATAGCATAGCCAGGGTCCTGGTTTCTTTCTAGATATTTATTTCACTTCCCTCTCTGTCGTCAAACTTTCCTGCCAGAAGAGATCCAGCATGGCACGGGGCACATTAAGGGGATGACTTACCTGGCTGTCAGGGTGACGATTGAGAGCAGCTGGCCCAAGTCCTTACCTGGGAAGGCATGTTGGGTCCTCACAGCAGGCTGTGAGCTTTGAGGCAGCCGCCGACCTCTCTCCCGGCCCACATTTGTGCTTGACAGTGAGTCTGGCTGTCTGTTATTCCTGAAACGCCCAAGGATGCTGCCCTCGCTTATGCATGTTCCCAGCAGTTGATCTCAGCTGCTTCTTCCTCTTTTGGCCTCATGCCGTTTCCTTGTCAGCCCACTTAGAGCCCTGAAATCCCCACTCTGGCTGGTCCGGGTCTCTCAGGCCCTCAGCCCGTACCACTCATTCCCCCAGGAACTCTAGATTGTCCCGTCTCCGTGGGGACCTGACATCCCATCTCCATAGTAACGTACAGAAAGCTCATGATGGCCTGGGGCCTGGAGTGGGACATATTGCACTCCTTGGAAGTGATCTCTTCCCACAGCGACCTCAGATGGAGAAGAAGTGATTTGGGGGAGCGGGGAAGAGGGCGTCCCAGCGCCTTCTGGAGCTGATCGTAGACAGAGGCATCCACACCCATGCCCTTCTTGACATGGAGTTCTTGCCAAAACATGTCATTGAACTGATGCAACAGTGGATTAAGGCGAGGGAGAGGCCCCTCTAGTGTTTCAGTATTAATAAGCCAGGCTGCAATGCTCAGGCAGCAGAACGGCAGACCATATAGAGAAGCTTGTGCCACCTGCTTCGACATGCACGGCCTCCAGATGGCTGTGGGGCCAGAATCAGGGGATGGTTCATTGAGCCCTGGGCCAGGCACTAAGGATAGAGGGGTGAAGGAAACAGAACATGGTCCCTAATATCGAAAGCATTCAGGGTGGCAACAACAGTAGTATCTTGCATGCACGAACCATCTGGTACCTTAATAAGGTCATTTTAGTTACTCAACGAGTTACACGGTGAGATGGGAACGGTCAGCCCTTCCATGTCACTGTCAACATCCGACATCCAAGGCCACCATCATCCCTTGCCTCCCAAGTTGTCCCCCTGCCTCTACTCTTGTCTCCCCAGAGTCAGTTCTCATCCAGCAGCCTCCTCAAGCTGTTTAAAATGCAAACCACATCCTCTCCCGCTGGTCCCAGCAGTCTCGCCCTGCTCGCCTTCTGACAGGTCCTTTCTCTGCCCTGTCCAGGTCGGTGGCCACTCCCTGACGTGGCTGTTGAGCACTTGAATATGGCCAGTCCAAACCGAGATGTGCCGTGCGTGTGAATACACTCTGCATTTCGAAGTCTTGGAATGAAAAAAGAGAATGCAGAATATCCCCTCAACAGTTTTTATATTGATCACATTTTGGATATATTAGATGAACTACGATATATTCTTAAAATTAATTTTACCTGTTTCTTTTGACTTTCTTTAACGTAGTTGCTAGAAAATTTAAGATTACGTCCGCAGCCCACATTCCCGGCCGACACGCTCTCCCTGTTGGACAGCGTCGCCCTGGCTGCTGCTGGCGTGTTCCTTCTGCGTCTTTGCGTTTGCTGTCTTCCCTGCCAGGAGCCCTGGTCCCCTCACACTTCCTCCATTTGGTTCCTCCCCATCATTTGGGCCTTGAATGAAGACTGACGCAGGCCTTCCGTGGCTGCCTCGTCTAAGCATCCTCTCCTGTCTCACCCACAGCCTTTGTCAGCGCCTGTTTCCTTCTTTCCCAGCATTAATCGCACCGTGTAATTGCTGTCCTTTATTGACTCCATTCTTCAACAACACTTACTCTGTGCCAAGCACCTTTCTAAGTCTTTCACGTGTGTTCACTTTTTAAAGCCCCATCACAACCCTCAGAGGTAGACATCCCCCCATTAGACAGATGGGAAACCAAGGGATTCCAGCCCAAGGGTCTGGCCTCAGAGCCTGCTGTTCTGACCCAGCGACAGGCAGGGACCCTGCTCACCTTGAGTTCCCACTTGGCATGTTATTTGTTAACAATCCCGATGTCCATCAACAGATGAATGGATAAGCAAAATGTGGTCTATCCGTACGAGGGAATACTATTCAGCCATAAAAAGGAATGCAGTGGTGATGCATGCTACGATGTGGATGGACCTTGGGAACATGATGCTAAATGGAAGCCAGACACAAGAGGCTACACATTGTCTGATTCTGTTTGTATGAAATGGCCGTAGAGGCAATCCATGGAGACGGGAAGCTGAATAGTAGTTGCCAGCGCCTGGGGGACAGAGGGAATGGGGAGTGACTGCCAATAGGTATGGGATTTCTTTTGGGGGTGATGAAAACATTCTGGAATTAGATGGTAGTGATGGTTGCACAACCTCGTGAATATACTAAAACTCACTGAATTGTACACTGGAGACGGTGAATTTTATGATATGTGAATTAGACTTTAATTAAAGTAAGTAAATACATAAACATCATGTTGACGGAACGAATCGGCACAGAGGCAAACGTGAAAACCCAGGATCCACCATCTTTCTCAAGGAGCCGTCCGGAAATGCTATGCTCAGATGCAAAGAACAGTTGCCCCTGAGTCATTCATTCATCAGCTATTTCTCACGCATCTGCAAATATGCTGGGCACTTTGCCAGGCATGGTGTTGGCGCTCTGAATAAGACAGATGGGGTCCCTGACCCCTAGGCTCCTGCAGGGAAGACCCATGGTTCTGCAGATGCTTGCAAGGAGGTGGGAAGACTGTGTGACCCTGGGGCAGGGTTTCTTGACCTTGAGCCCAGAGGCCCCCGCCACCCCAGGGTCCGTGGATAGAATTCAAGAGGCCCGTGAACTTAGAAGGAAGAAATCACATCTTCATTTTCACTAACTCTAGTGAAAATTTAGCATTTCCTCCGATTATGAATTCGGGTGACAAGCCACAGAGGTATCGGCAGCACTTTTAACTTTGTCACCACCAGAAATCACAAATATTTTCATATGTTTTTTTTTTTTTTGCAGCTCCTTCAAAGTATTATTTGCGTATCCCCATTTCAAAATGCAGTTTTTAAAATATTTGATAACTATTTCCGTTTGATGGTTCTCCTTTGTAATCTCCTGTATGTTATTTCATATATTTAAAAACACTATTCTGGAAGTGGTCCCTGATACCGGAGGGATTCAAGAAGGTTGAGAAGTGCTGCCCTCCTTCTTAGCTAAGAAGTTAAGAGGGGCTCCTTGTGCTGGAACATCCCAGGTGGGTGCTGCGATGGAAGGAGTAGGCAGGCAGAGGACCGGCAAACGGAGGCCCAGGTGACCCTGAGGGAAGGTGGCCCACTCGAAAGCACAGGAGTGATGCTCAGGCTCCTGGAGCGGCCACGGGGCAGAATGGAGCTTGTCATGCCCAGTCTTCCACTGACCTGAAAGAATATGAGTGGCTGTGTACTGAATGGATGGCAGGATGGACAGAGATCTGGGGTCCTAGAAGAGACAACTGCTTCAGAAGGAAGTGATCCTTCTAACCAGCTTTAGCTTGCAGGTTTGGCCTTCATTGCTTGAAAAACACTTTGGGAAAGTGAAGACGGAGAAAGAGCCTGGTAACTTTCTGAAATACACCGTTAGGGTTGGCGAGCCATTCTCAACTCATTGCAGTGTTGGAGGGGAGCGCTCCGTGTCAGGCCGATCATGAAGGGCACCCACATTTCTGTTGCAGAAAACAGGCACAGGAGGGCCCGTTATGAATGGCACATCAGCCGTGACCGTAAGTTCCGTGGTTTTATCGGTCTGTGTCATAACCTGAACGTTACTTATGTGTAGTTGCGTGGTGTTTTTTATTACTGTTGCCCCTTCTTTTCCCCGTGGCTGCTAATATTTCGTGTCGCGGCTCCCCAGTCGCTCTTGTCACCATTATCCATTACTGTCACCGCCCTGCCAGGATGTCCTTGGAGGCGACTCTTAATGGAGCTGTCCTGGTTAAAGAAATTCAATGTGATTGAACTGTGGCAAAGAATCAAAATCCAAATATCTGAAAGGGATGAATAAGAACTAGGTATTAAAGCATATTGGTTATTTATTACTGGCAGAAGGCAGGAAAACATTAGCATGTAAAAAGCTGTAAATTAATCACGGCTGGTGATAGGAAGCCTGAAAAAGGCACCTCTATCTGCGTTAACTCTGTTTTCTTATTCTCAGTGTGTCCCCGAGCCCCCGCTCTTGTCCTTCCGTGATAAATTTGCATCCCGGCTGGCTAGCTGCTGGCACGGAGGGGAGAGGTTAACCCAAAATATGGTTAATCTCGCGTCACCTGGCACTGAAAAGAGGGCGGCAAGGGTGAGTGTCCGTGAACTGACCTAGATTCACATTGTGGCCACACCGCTCACTCGCTGAGACCTGGGACAAGTCAGCTGACGGCTCCGGACGTTGGGTCGCCAGTCTGTCAAGGGCAAATGATTGTAAAACCCCCCTCACAGAGTTGTCGTAAGGATTAAATGAGATGCTGCCTTTACGTGTTCAGTCCTGTGGCAAATGGCAGCTGTTGGTGACCGGCAAAGGGGCAAAGGCCTTGCCACTCAAAATGTGGTCCGTGGGCCAGCATCGTGTTAGAAATGCAGATTCCCAGGCCTCGCCTCTGTCCTCCTGTGTTAGAATGTGCATTCAACAGGATCCCCAATAGACAGTAATGTTTGACAAGCCCCATCACAACGTGTTTTTGTACATACAGGGCACTTTTTTAGCGAATTGGAGAAAGGGCGTTCTGTGTTGTGGTAAAAACAGGGAAAAGATTCATCCACGCTGAAAGGATTCATTGAATACAGCATGGCGGCTGGCTGTTGAGAACGAATGTCCCAAGAGATGGGCGGTGGAAACTGCCAGCTTCTTCAGGCCTGGGTCCAGACCCTGGCACAGCATCTCTCCACATTTTTGTATGGATCTGCAGTGCCTGAATTCAAGGGGAGGAAACGTAGGCCCCACCTGCCGATGGGATGTGTGGCAGAGAGTTTGGGGGTCACACTTTAGATCTGCCACAGGTAGCCTTTAAGCAAACTGAGACTCAAATGTGGATTTTCCGGCACAGAGCTCTTTCTACCGTTCCAATTTGCACTTCCCTCTTGATCTTTCTTTGGGGAGAATTTAGACCCTGTCAGTCTGATTCTGCATCGAAATAAAAATAGCCCCATCTTTTCGCTTTATGGTGTGAGCCGAGAGCCCGGGGCCCAGACTGTCATCCTGGTCCCAGAGAGAGAACCCTGGGAGCCACTGTGTGGGATGTCTCAGCTCTTTAGGGCTTGTTTGCCACAGCATGGGCATGTGGCAGCCGCTGCCCGCCCCTGCTGCAGGCCTGAAGGTCTGGGGACCGTCTCTCAGTTAACACAAGCCGCAAGAAGACGTGCCACCAGACGTTGCCCGGCTCTGCTCACAGATGACACCTTACCCCCACCGGCTGGGCTGCAGGAGCCCCCAGCTTCCTGGATCTCTTCCCCCTGAGAAATGGCGCGTGTCCGTCTGCCTGAGATGCAGGCTAAGACGGGGGGCTGGGGCTCTCTCTTGCGTGGTTCGAAGCCTTCGTTGGAGCTGGGGTTGGAGTCCAGCCTCACCTGTCCAGTGCCCCATCCACCATTCCAGACCTTCTGCGGCTTCCTCTGGGTTCCCCCGAAAGGAGCCACGAGACGGATTCGAACCGGGATCTCAGAGCAGGGAAGTGGGACAGGGATGGGAAGGCAGCCCGTCAATGAAGGGTGTATCATTAGGCCTGTTGTCACCATGGGCAACAGGAACTTAATCTTGTAGAGAAACTCTGGAAAATGGCAGATCACGTCTCCCACCCGAGGAGACAGCCCACCCGAGGAGAAGGGGACTGGGACCATCACCAGCTCCTGAGCAGCGTGAGTTGAGGGTACAGGCGGCCCACAGACGTGAGGAGGGAGCCACACGGCTGCTGGGGGGTTAAGGTAATGGTGGCACTGGGCCCCAAGGGACGTGAAGGAGTCTGCCAGGCGGACAGAGTGCCCAAGGGCATTCCAGGCCCAGGGAACAGCATGGGCTAACGCAGAGGCACGGGAAACCTAAAGTGCTTGGTGTGGCTGCTGTGTGCACTCTGTGCCTTCTCCAGGGATAACGTCACTGCCCACAAAATGACGGGAATCCTCTCCCTTTGCGTTGTTTTTCAAGCTTTGCAACTGCAGCTTATAAACCGTCGCTGATAGCAATTCAGAGGAACTTCCATTAAATATATTGAACAGTTCTGGCATCGTTGCAAAGATGGCCTTGAAGGACCGTGTTCGTTTAGGTGTGATCAAGTGCAGTCTCCTTTGTTTAAACAAGTCCCTTTTGTCTGGCAAAGGCATTCACGTGTAGAAACCATTCCAGTTCAACCCTCTCAACATACCTCTGCTCCTGTGAAAACAGTGTTATGTTTTCGAGGCCCCCTTTTCCAGGAAAGTTCTGATCCCTTGGACATGCAGACACTCAGATCCTGCTGTTGGAAATTCCTGTTAGGAATAGCTGTTTGCACCGTTCCGAAACAGGTGTTCCTAGACAGGGTGACGCCTTAAACAGGGCCAGTGGCCAAAACTTTGCATGAAGGATTTAGAGACCAGAGTCCTGCGCCTGCAGCCAGACACACTGGAGTGTGAACGGGGCTCACTCAGTCCCCGCTGTGTTACCTCGCGCAGGGAATTCACGCCTCTGAGCCTTAATGTGGTTAGGAGTGTTGGGATCCCAGAGGAATTGTGAGCGTGCTCCGCCTGGAGAAGGCGGCTGCTGGCTCTGAGTTTCTGCTCTTCGTGCGTTTCCTGGGGGCCGAGCTTAATGGGACAAGATGAAAGAGACAGGAGTGAGCATCTGGCGGGGTGGCATGGGGGCACCTCCAGCCCGGAGGAAGGGGCGGGGCAGGTTGGCTGGGTGTGTCAGGAACACATTTACAGCTAAGCCTGCAGAAGGTTCCCCCGGCTGAGGATCATCCCACTCAAAGTTGATTTCTCTATGGGGAAAGATAAAGGGCCTCTGCTCCTTCATGGAGAAGGATCAGTGGCGACTCTGACCTGAGCTGAAGGCCGACCTTTGGCTCCTTGTGGACCCAAGCTTCTCCCTGGCACACACGCACACACGCT